TTTAACCGATAATAAATCACATTATATTCGTTTCAAAATAAGTATCACTTCAAAAATTTTATTCAGAAATTCGATTTGACTATAATGTGATTACATAAAATAGTTATTTCGGTAAATTGTTATCATATATTTAACAACCTATGCGGGTAATAAGTATAAATATAAGATTTCTATTGTTTTGTTACTTAAAATAATTTATTTTTTATAAAACTATTTAAATAAAAAAATTAAGTAGTTGAGTAATATATTAAACTATAAATAATTGACTATTTCGTTTACGTCCAAGTTACTATTGACCCGTAAGTTAGTTGAGTAATTTTAAATTATAAATAATTGGCTATTTTGTTTATGTCCAAATTAATATTGACCCTAAAATTATGAATAAATTTTTTTATTTTAAATTATAAATAAAAATCTTTAATTTATTTCTATATAATATATATCAAATTTAAACCATGCAACTAATAAATGTTACAGCTGCAAGTTTTGTCAATATATTATATTTCAAATTTAAATCACGGAACTAATAAAGGTAATAGCCGCAATATTTGACCAAAATAATTTTGTACATTAATTACATTAATTTAGGCTGAATTTTTCAAATTTGAAAAAAAATATATTACTCAATATAGTAATACTTTAGGCGGGAAATCATTTTTTTTTTTTTGCTGATTTTTAGTTGCTATTTCAAGTAAATATCATTGTCTCTTTATATATTAATAGATAGATATATACACAAGATCCAAAACGTCATTTATTTGGTTAATAGTTGATAAAGTCAAAATGACATTTAAAAAGAATATGATGTAGTATGTATTAAGATATTTTTTTAAAAAATAAAATAAAAATTAACCACCCAATTTTATTATATTCAAATATTTGATATTTCTAACAAACTAAATCTTATACTCTTATAGCTTATGCAATAGAAAATTCTATTTACGCTACGTAGTATAAGAACTAAAACGTGACGAATTAAGTTATAAATATTTTAAAACACTAAAAGGTATACAATTTCAATATGAATGGTCACTAAGATGATATTACATTATTATGGGGAAACTCGTGCGTCAGGCAAGGCTAAAAAATTCAAAATGTCAAATTTAAGAAAATAATTTATTAAAAGCAAATAAATAATGCAACAGGCAACCAATTTAATGCATAATATATCATGTTTATATATATAAATGTTGTACTATTAAAAATTTTAAGTTTATAATTTTTTGTTAAACCGAAAATACGTGTTGTACATATTAGAGCATCTCCAATGCTCAATGTTGTAGTGATAAATTACATTCCACATTAATACATTTATTAATATCACCATTTTTCATCTTCCAATGTACAATGTGATCACAAATGTTGTGATGATGTGGACATAATTAATGTCTACAATGTAGAGAAGAATGTGGTTCATCCACATTCTACTCCACACTCTAGTTAGCCAATGAGAATAAGAGAGAGAATTATTATTACCATTTTCAAACTATTTAATTATTTAATTAATTTTATTAATTCATATTAAAATTTTAATATTTGGCAAGTAGACAACATTGTGCATTAGAGATGATTTTTTAATTTAATAGTGGTGAACTCAACATTTGTCCTACATGGTTCACAATCTATTTAATTTTTTGACATTTGTCGAAAGAAATTTCTATAACAACATTAGAGCATTGGAGATAACTTAGTTAGTTAAAAATTATCAACACGAAATATTTTTTACAATAATTATTTGTGATTTTATTAGTATCAAAACTAATTGATAGAGTCCCAATAAATTTGGTATGTGTTGAAAAATTGGAGAAGGTAGTATTGATTAGTTATTTCATAGAAAGATAGATCTTCTATACCACAAACGTGAGATTTTATATAGTTTCGAATTTGTGGGCGTGGCGGAATTTTTCTAAAGCATTCAGAAATGTTTTAACTAATTTCCATAAAAATAGGTTTCTTCTCAACTTTTTAAGTGGATTACAGGTAAAACAAAATCTTGTACAAATCTATACAATCCAATCCGATATTCCACAATCAATTGTATCATTTTGTTTTAAATTTTCTAAAAATTCAAACAGTTATTTAGGCGGCTTATCCCAATTTTTTTTTAAAAAATTACTTATTATAGTAAGTATTAAGTGGGAATTTGAAATGTTTTTTAGTTACTATTTTAGATTTATTAGGTTCCCTCTTTATATTACAATAGATAAATTTACATATTTATATTACAAAAAAAAAAGTTATTTATGGCACAAATATGATTGGTTAACCGTGAGTCTAACACTATTTGGAGAAAATGTTATAAAAATAATTTTATTTTATTTATTTTTTAATTTTTGAGTTCGAAGTTCAAACAAACAAATTCCGAGTTAATCAACATACTTAAAAAGTTTGTTTTCTAAACTATTCGAACACAAACAACTCAAATTTTAACGAACAATTAAACGAACGGGCTCGAACACGATTTTTGTACTCAAACTGTGTTCGAATGTAAACGACATGAGCTCGATGCCCAAGCTCGGTTCGATTATAACACTAGTCCAAAACCTGATAACTCGTTGGGTAAAACCCAATCCGAACCTGAAGTTCACTACCAGGTAACGTGCCGAGTACGAGTAGGGGTGTATTATATGCGGGTCGAGTTCCGGTTTGCCAAAATTGAACCCGACCCGACCAATTTATATCCCTAGGTAATTGTCCACACCCATACAGTGGGACCCATGTCACCATACACCAACTCATATGTGGGCCCCACCTGACACCTCACATCTCTTTCTCTCACTCACAAACACATACACACGGTAACTCCGCTGGACTTCCGCGATGGCGTCGTCGCCCCGTCTCTCGTTTGCACCGTGCCTGATCGACGTCCGCTGTCGCACGTCCGCCATGTGCCGCGCTGCAAGAATTGGTAGAGCTCTAACTCGTCGTGTTTGACTTCTTCCTCCACCACGATGTTCTGTCGCACACCTAGCTGCCGACGCCATTATCCAACCACCGACAATCGCTGACTCCACTGTCCTGCCAACCACCTATGCTACTGTTCACGACGAGTGTAACACCCCAGCTACTTACTACTGTAATTATGAAAACCAGAGTAAAATTTTTCTTTTTATTTTCGAAAACTCTTAATTTATTTTGTGGAAACACTTTCTTTCTCGCAGGAGCCTACCTCACTTACTTACTTTTCTCTTTCTTTACTTAGACAAATAAACAAAATAAATGCAACCAAACAAAATAGTATTCCACCCCCGAGATAAAGTACTACTTATATACTAGAATTAAACATTCATAGTCTAATGTCTCATAGTCTCATAATGCGGAAGCTAAAACATGTTCAAACACACATAGTTCGCAAGACACATTCAAATATCACATGGCATCATAATTTGTTTTTCAAAATATCTGTTAGATCTAGACTAATGGCCTATATCAATTGCCATTGATGACTTTACAGACAATCACAAATCTGGTAATGAAGCTCAGGATCAAAAATCAATGCAGCAGTAAAATCTGAACCTTTGTATTGAATGCTTAAACCCTTGAGGGTGAATACAATGACTTAAATACAATTCATAAGAAAATAAGAGCCCTTAGATTAAAATCAAGGGCTGAGAAAATAGATCAAGAACAAGACAAAAGTTAACTAAAAGAAGCTAAGCATAAATGCATGGACTGCCATGCATACGTACTAAAAGAGAAAATAAGAAGACTTGGTCTTTGAGATGGCTATGCTATTATGCCCCCTTCAATTCGAAGGAGGGTTTGGATTTGACTTGCAATTTGTCTCGAAGCCGACTGAAGAATTGACTAGACAAGGGCTTGGTGAATATATCCGCAAGTTGGTACAAAGCAGGAATATGGTGAACAGAGATTGTGTGAAGATGAACTTGCTCTCGAATAAAGTGAAGATCAATTGCAGCATGCTTGGTCTTTGAATGATGTACTGGATTGGGTGAGAGTAGAACAGAGCCAAGGTTATCAACCCAAACTGTAGTTGGCTGATGTTGAGGAAGATGCAACTCAGATAACAATGATCGAAGCCATATAATATCACAGGTGGCTGCAGCAAGGCTCCTGCATTCAGCCTCTGTGCTTGAGCGAGCAATGGTCTTCTGTTTCTTGCTACTCCAAGAAATGAGATTGCTACCAAGAAATATACAAAAACCGGAAGTTGATCTTCTATCATCAAGATCTGTGGCCCAATCAGAGTCTGCATAAGCAATAAGCTGTAGAGAGGGAGACTTTGTGATGTGAAGTCCTGAAGTAATGGATCCACTAAGATACCTCAAAAGCCTTTTGAGTGCCTTCCAATGTGTATGAAGTGGATTTTGCATGTACTGACTACACTTGTTGACTACATAGGAGATTTCAGGTCTTGTAAATGTGGCATATTGTAATGCACCAATAAGTTGCCTGTATAATGTGCCATTTTCAATAGGCTGCCCATGATTCTTAGAAAGGCCAGGTGTAGAGACCATAGAAGTGCTGAGGGCTTTACAGTTGCTCATGCCAGCTCTTTTGAGAGTATTCTTGATATATGCAGATTGGCTAAGAAAAATACCATTAGAGGTTCTAGCAACCTCCAAACCCAAGAAATAATTTAGAACACCTAAATCTTTAAGAGCAAAAAATCCCTTAAGAACAGAAATGATATGATCAATCTCAGAATCATCAGTGCCTGTGATGATTAAATCATCCACATAGGCTAGTATAAAGATGTTGCAATTCTTCTGAACTTTGATAAATAGAGAAGAATCTGATTTAAAGCTCTTAAAGCCAAGAGAAGATAAAACAGTGCCAAGTTTTAAGAACCAAGACCTTGATGCTTGCCTGAGACCATATAAAGATTTTTTAAGCAAGCAAACTTTATCACCTTGTTCAAAACCATGTGGTTGCATCATATAAATATCAGCATCTAAGTCTCCATTCAAAAAGGCATTGTCCACATCAATTTGCCTGATTGACCAAGATTTAGTAACAACAATTGATAACACTGTCCTTATAGTAATAGGTTTGACAACAGGACTAAATGTTTCTGTGAAATCCAAACCAGGAATTTGACTAAACCCTTTAGTAACTAATCTTGCTTTAAATCTAGAGACTAAACCATCTGCATTCTTCTTTAACTTAAACACCCACCTGCAGCCAATGGCTTTCTTGTTGGGAGGAAGATCAGACAAGATCCAAGTTTTGTTGTTAAGCAAGGCTTGGTACTCAGTGTCCATTGCCATCTTCCAGTTAGGATCTTGAAGTGCATCCTCAAGTGTGGAAGGCTCAACATAATCTGTGGGCTCAGTTGTGCAAGAGAATACCTTCTTTTTGAAGATACCAGCTCTTCCCCTAGTGATCATAGGATGCACATTATCTGCAGTCACAGGATTAGTAGAAACAACATGTATAGGAGTGGTATTGCCACCACTATCAATTGGCAAATCTATAAAAATCTGTCCAATGGAAATTCTAGGGGAATGTGTGTGAGGAGAAGTTGAGTGGTGGGAAGAAGAATGAGAGTGGGAGTGAGATGAGCTAGATTGGTGAGAAATAGAGTTGGATGGGGTAGACATGATAGGAGAAGAGGGTAAAGTGGGAGTGATATGGCCTGTGGGGTATGGAGGAGTTGGGGGTAGTTGAGAAATAAGTAAGGGAGAAGTAGGCAGATTAGTGTGAGTGGGACCAGAAGGTGTAGTGTCTTCTGTTTTGTCCTTAAAGGGAAAAGATGTTTCATCAAAGGTTACATGCCTAGAAATGATTATTTTTCTGTTGGGAAGCAACACTTTGTAACCTTTGTATTGGTCATGATAGCCAATGAAGGTACTTTGTTGGCTTTTAAAATCAAGCTTATGCTGATTGTAAGGTTTAAGATAGGGATAACAAGCACAACCAAAGACTTTGATGTGGCTGTAGTCTGGTCTTTGGCCTGTCAGCATTTCAAAGGGAGAGATGAATTTTAAGGTTTTGCTGGGAACTCTATTTAACAGATAGACTGCAGTAGAGAATGCATGGTCCCAGTATCTTTTTGGGACTGAAGAATGAGCTAACAAAGAAAGACCTGAGTTCACTATGTGCCTGTGTTTCCTTTCAGCTATCCCATTTTGTTCTGGAGTGTAAGGACAAGACATCCTATGTGTAATTCCATTTTGATGGAAAAAATCAGAGAGAGGTTTATATTCTGTCCCACCATCACTTTGCACTATCCTAATTTTTTTGGAAAATTTGTTTTCAACAAGGGTTCTGAAATGCATAAAGGCATTGGCAGCATCAGATTTGTTTTTCAAAAAGTATATCCAAGTGAACCTAGTCTTATGATCAACAAAGTTGATATAGTAGCAATGTCCTGTGGCAGATTTGATAGGACATGGTCCCCAAAGATCAGTATAAATCAATTCAAGAACATCATAACAATCAGTCATGGAATCATCAAAATGAAGTTTATGACATTTTCCCATAAAACATGAAGAGCATAATGGTCTGTTCCCACTATCATGAAAATCAACATTACAGCTTTTAAGAGCCCTCTTAACAATATCAAAGGAAGCATGTCCTAATCTATTGTGCCAAAGGTCTAAACTAAGCTTATTCTTGAGAGTGGCTGAATGAGTCTGAGGTTGAAACTTTTTGAGTGAAGGTGGGACTTGAACTTTATTTTCTTTTGCTTGAATCATGTCAAAACAGTAGAGGCCATTAATAAGCTTGCCTTTGAGAAGAATCTGACCTGTGACTTGGTCCTTAAGAAGACAGAAAAAGGGATGGAATTCAAAGTATACTCCATTATCTTTAGCAAATTGTGATACACTCAAAAGATTTTTGGTTATGTGAGGAACACAAAGAAGATTGTTAAGGACAAAGGATTGATTCTTATTAGAGACAGATTTCATTATAGATGTGCCAATATGAGTGATAGGCATACCTGCTCCATTTCCCATTTCAATTTTGTCATCACCATGATATTCTGCTGCAAGGCTGAGGTTGTTCAAGTCTGAGGTGATATGATTTGTGGCTCCTGAGTCAGGCAGCCACTGTGAATCTTGAAAATTCTGCACAGTTTCTGAGGTTCCAAATGTGCTGCCATTGTAAGAGCTGAGGTTTGCCATATTGGCCATGTTTTGATAGCTTTGCTGACCTCTGAAGTTGGGGTTCTGAGGGTAAGAATAGGATTGATCAAACCTATTGTAACATCTGTCAGCTGAGTGGCCATCCTTTTGACAGATTTGGCATTTGACAAAGCTGCTTCTACCTCCTCTTCCTCTATAGCTGTTTCTGCCTGACCTTCCTCCTCTAAATCCACCTCTATTTTGACTTGATCTGCCTCTAAATCCTTGGTTAGGAGTAAATCCTCCTCTTTTTGATGTTTGCTGAGAGGCCATATTTGCAAAACCTCTAAAACCATCACCACTGAGAGAGTTAGTTGTGTTCCTCTCAATCCTGCTCTCAAATGTCAACAACAGTGACTGTGCCTCTCTAAGTGTGCAGGGAGGAATCCTTGAGTTGATTGAGACTGAGACTGAATCGTATTCAGGCCCTAGACCATCTAGCATAGAAGATATGTGGTCATCTTCTGAGTAGGTGTTTCCAGCTGCTGCTAGGGCATCATAACAAGCTTTGATTTTATTCAAATACTCTCTCATGGTCCGAGTGCCTTTCTTGAGGTTATGCAACTGAGATTTGATTTGCATAACTTTGGCCCTAGACTGAGTGGTGAAATCTAACTCCAGTGACTGCCAAATTTCAGTAGAGGTGTTCAAACCCACAGTGTTGACAAGGATCTCTTCAGTAAGAGAGCTTAGGAGCCAAGAAACCAAAAGCTGATCTTGCTTTTGCCAGCTCAAATAAAGTGGGTTGAATGTGGTATGGACTCCATTTTCATCTCTGATAAATTTGTCTGGTGCAGTAGCTGTGCCAAGAATAAAGTCCTCAAGCCCATAACCTCTCACAGTAGCAAGAACCTGGTGTTTCCACATTAAATAATTAGTTTCATTCAGCTTAA